AGAAAGAAAAATGAAGAATGAAAATAAATTAATTATGTCTTGACGTATGTTCACTAAATATAAAGTAAATTTAATTTGGTGATTACAGTATAGGTTCTTTTCCCATTTCTCTTCTTCTTACTTTTCCTCCCCTTCCTTCTCAACATCCGTTTCATCTTTTCTCCACCCTTGCGTATGTTTTGAGCATGGGCCAGGCCACCGCGTGGGCAAGCCCACTTTCAAAAGTTTCCTGAACATTCTTTGATTCTTGACACAGCTTCGGTCACTCCAACGGAGTTATTTATCGTTCATTGCTCCATTGCGCCACTTTTTCTTTGATGACCCCGTTTTCGTTTTCCAAAAGATTATGTTTTTTTCCAGAGGCAGTCGCGAAGTCGTTTTTTTCACGTGATCAAATAAGTGGAACATGTTTCCAATCTGTTTTCCGTTATTGCAGCTTTCATTGGTGCCGGTGTCCCTTATGAAGTTATTCCGATGTGATCCGTTCTGCTGTAACCACAGATCCACCTGAGCGTCTATGGAATTCAACTGCTGTTTGAGACTCTTCAGCGTGTCTCAGCATTCAGTTGCATTGAGCAAATATTGGTGCTTTTTTCGGGCCGGTAGTCACCTACTTAAAAAAATGAGGATCCATCCTTTTTCCATCCGAGTCAGGCTTTTTTGATCGATTTCACCATTGTCTTAAATATGTTGTCATTGCCACCGTTGACCAGTCCAACATACTTGAATGCCCTCGAATGGTAGGGCTTTAAACAGCAGGCGAAGCTCAACGTTTACGAATTCGTTGAGGCCTGATGTGCTGCTCTAATGGCCAACAGTATCTCATGCCTTGATTTTTAAGAACTGCTACTCAACCTTAGCTTCCTCTTTTAATGCTTCACTAAATCTTGACACTTATTAGTCTACGTGCCATATGCGGCTGTTTTCTGTAGATATTCAGTTAGGACTTCCGTTGTCATCTGAGATAAAATCAGATTTAATGCTGATCCATACCTAATAAGAAAAGCAATTTACTATCTGACTAATTATCCAAAAATAAACTCATGCAAATTACTACTGCCCATGATCTATGGCGCTGAAAGTTGGTTCTACTACTACAGTCGAGGAAAACAAACTTATGGTCACGTAGAGAGCGGTACTGCGTGAGGCCTCCCTCGGAGATCACCTTCTGAACGCACAGATTTGGTAAGGGATTAGTTTAAGAGACGTGATTTCTGCCTTTGACGACGCCAGTAGACGATGGGCCAGGCTTGTGACTCGCCTGAGGGACAACCATCAGACTTAAAAAATTATAAACCGGATTCGGCTGGAGCCCAAGCACCGATTTGATTGTTCGAGAATGCTCCGGGATGACCCGATGGTCAAATTAGCCGGGCAACGAATGCGGAGAAAGCGGAGAACTGAGAACACTGGAAGAGCGTCGACTTCAGTTCATTGCGCACCAGTAACGACAACAAGTCGGGTAGCAGATGATCGACATTTTTTACCTTAAAACATGATTAACCTTATATGCCACCTCTGTGTGTGTAAATCCTTAATTGTCCTTCTCTCCGACTTGTTTTCGTCAAACTGTGGTCCCCGTTTCCATCATTTACCAAACAGCGAACAGCGTTCATTGGGTCGTCAACCAACACCCTTGGACGTCTGCTGAGGAGGTAGAACCAGTTTGTAACTCGGGATGTCCACCAGTTGTCTTTCAGACTAAGCCTAAATGACCAGTCCGCCGTCTTCGAGTTGTAAGCGGCGGTGAGTACATGCACAGCTCGTCTCCTACACCGAACTATTGCACTTAGAACATGGTCTCGAAGGAAGACTTTGCAGTTGTCATTTTTATCGCCCTTTGCATTATTACTACTTATTTCCTCAGCTCTGGTAGTAGATCAGCGCTTTGGCCATAAATCATGGCGCGTGGGGCGGGGGGGGGTAGGACCGCTCTTTCTTCGTAGACATGGGCAGTTCGATATCTAGGAGGGCGAGTTTTCGATGCGATTGAATCGTGACCACGT